TATAGAGGAAGCTAGCTAACCAATTACTAACAAACTAACAAGATAACTAACTAAAGAAGCAACTAGAATATGCTAGAATAACAAAGCTGAATTCTGGTGAACTGAACACGTGAAACTTGCTGGTGAACTGGAGTGAACACTTTGCTGAACTGGAGGCTGGGAGTGGGAACACGTCTGGTGACTGAAGGTTTGCTGGTGCACGTTTGCTTTGCTGGTGTTGGCTGGTTAATATTCCAACACAGATCCACCAAAAGGGCATAATAATATATCTATAGCAGCATCTAAGAACATCAATTATCAATAAGTTCAAGGATCGATCAACTGTTCTAGATTTAGCACTGCAAAGGGAATGTTTACAACATTGCAGATGTATATGATACATTTTTATTACTTTTTGTCTTTATTTTGCTTTGAAATATCACAAGCTCACTCTTATCACAAACTCATTTACAGAATTCTTCATACCCTTTCATCCAAGTATCTAACAAAACCTGACCAGTTGTCTTTGTACACAGCAGAGAAGAGATTTGACAGAGAGGATGACAAAAATAAAAATACGTGAAGCATTAAGAAGCAGATATAAATCATATATACGACTTCTGATATCTTCAGGTCTTGTCGCCAAAACCTTACTTGATAGATCTCAACGTTCACCTATTGAAACTTGAAAGAACTCCATTTGGTGAACACTTTAGCTGTGATACTCTAAGCATCAATAACTTGATTATTAGATACTTGTCGACAGATGCACGGATTTGTAAAGCCACGCAAGATGTATGAACCAGTGGTTTCATCTTCATTTTCATTCTCTTCAAGTGATCTTTCTTTGGTTTCACGAGTGAAGAAATATGTAACAATCATTCCCATAATACAAATCCCACCTAAGATCACCAAAGAGGCTGTCATTCCAATTCCTTTAGTATAACCATTCTTTTTCTCATTGTGAGAAGCCCATAAAAACCCGACTGAACCAATAATTGCACCGATTTTCCCTGCAGCTCCTGAAATCCCATGGCACGTTGATCGGAACCGAGCTGGGAAAAGTTCAGCCGGAACAATGAAAGTGGTTGTGTTTGGTCCGAAATTTGAGAAAAAAAATGTTAGACCAAACAAAAACATGAATCCTATATTGTCGTGACTGTCCCAATATATGTAGTATGGTATTCCTATTGCAAACATGCCTAGTGCCATGAAAAAGAAGCCCATTATTTGGATTTTGACTCTCCCAACTCTATCAATAAAGTAAACAGTCGCATAATACCCCGGGATTGTGGAACAGATTGCTATAATTGCTTGGAGTTTCGCATACTGAAAGGCGTCTTCAAATGCATTTACTTTGTTCTTGGGCCGAAGATAGCTATCATTTTCATATATTTTGGATTGGAAAAGGTTGCTGCTGTAGAACACGACATCGACTAAGAACCAGTTGGCAGCGCAAGAAAAAAGGTCGCGTCCATGGCGGCAAAGGAATTCTTGGGAGAAAAGGGAATAAGATGGTGGATTTGGTAGGCTCTCCTCTTCTGCAATTTGACTCAATGAAACGTCTAGCACTGTTTGCATGTCCTTGGCTGCTTGTATCACATTTCTCTCCACCAAAGCTGTATACCTGTTAAATTTAACCACATTTCATGAACATAATTTAGATACATACATGAATATGAACACTAAAATTAATAAATCGGCCTAGTATGTATAATCTGAACATTATTAAATAAGAGATAGAGAAGTAATAAAACTCATTATTAATTTTGAAAAACATAAAGGAAAAAAGGATATTAAATGAAGTTCTGAAACCTTACCTGGCAGTCTCAGGCATCATCATCCGCCAGTAATAAGTCAACCCCGCTGGCACTGCACCGATCATCAGTATAAGCCTCCATGCCAGGTCTGCCGACTCCGGCGTGTGATCTGGCTCCGGATAATTTGATGCCCGGTTGAATATAGCGCAAACTATCATAGTCACAGTGGAGCTCACCAGAATCCCAAACCCCTGCATGGAGAAAACAGCAGCTATGAACGCACCACGTGTCTTCCGGTTCGCGAACTCCGACATAATAGTCGCCGACAATGGGTAGTCTCCGCCGATCCCCACACCCAACACGAACCTGAAAAACATAAGAGAGAGAAGGACAAAAGTCCTGGATGTGCTTAAAGATAATCCACACCCTATGGAGCTCAAGACCATCAGCATGAGTGCCAGACCATAGACGCGCCGCCGCCCTATTCGGTCTCCGAGGTATCCAAACACCAGCTGCCCAATAACGGTCCCGAGGAGGGCCGTGCCAACCATGACAGAAGTCACCACCGCCGAGACTTCATAAAGCTGATCGCCTCCATATTTTTTGATATCACCGTAATAGATGCGGCCGAGGAGTCTCATGATCGGAGGAATGCAAAACAGATCGTAAGCATCAGTGAACAACCCCATTCCCGCCACGATTATGGCCTTGAAATGATAGTATTGTGTTCTTGCCGAGTCGAGAGCAGAAAGGACTTTGAGCGCCATTGTACAATTCCCACAATTTTTCCTTCGCCAAGACGTAAGATTTACACACGAGTCAAATTTCTTGTATAAATAATTGGCAATCCAAGGTTGGACGAAACAACGGAAGTTGGAGGGGAGTTTCTTACTAGATGACAACTACAAGACTAGACTTAGGGAAATGTTGATGTTGGTATATATTATAGAATATGCTAGTTGCAGTTAATAATTCAAAGTTGAAAATGACTCGTCGAATTTTATTTAGAGGTAGATACGTGGAATAAGAATCGAAGACTACTACAAGGTTGGTATGGGAAGACTACTACTAACTACTCTGACATAATTTTATTTGAAATTATAATTTTTAAAATAGTATAATTTTTTAAGAATGTTTAGTTAAAAAAGAAGAAAAATGTTTTTGTTTATGCGTAACATTATTTTATTGGAGAACTATTTGCAGTCGATTTTGGCGATTATCCGATTGTTAAGAACTATTTGCAGTCCATAAATTGTATTGTTTACGTGTAATAATTTAAAAAGAAAAAGGATTCTCAATTATCCGATCGATAAGAAGATGGAAAAAATAAATTATAATTTTAATGAAGATCAAATAATGCTTATTTTTGATTCATTGACATGGGATTTTGACATTTGTTCCCTAATTGGTTAACATTAGAAAGAAAATTAATCATCAGATAAAGACAAGTAAGAAAGGTCATATGCAATTTCTTAACTATTTCCATGAGGTTTCTGGTTCACCATATGATAAGATAGCAATACGGCTATGGACCGGAAAGCCAGAAAATGGAAGAACTGGAGAATATGGACTACCGTCACTCTCGACTGGAATATATTTAACTTGATCGTCCTCGTTGAATCAATCAAATACTTCGAGAACGATGTTGAGCCAACCAAGAAACTTCAACAACATATTGAAAAGAAATTAGATGAACACCCCGTTATTTTCGTTCTATTTAAATTAATTAATTAAGTAGTTAAAATAGGACGGCCCTTTATTGAGTACTGACCCGTCAATAGTTACGAGATTTTGTGTATTGAATTTTTTTTACTTAATTGTAACAAATAAGAAAATTATGCCCTTGTTTGTTAAAAATTAAAATTGAATTTTTAATTTGAGTCAAAGTCACAAATTAATTTTAACCACGCATTTTATGTGTCCCACAATTCATCATTTTTTATCAAAATCTATTAAAAATCTGTTTTTAATCCATACCAAACGGGGCTAAGTCAATGTTTCGTCCCCATTTCTTAAAACTCATTTTTCTCAAACTTATTAAACTAAACATTTCACGGAATCCATAATTTTTATTAAATTTTCAATCACATATTTTTAACAACTTTCATTGAAATCTACTAAAAATCTAATTTCTATTCAAATCGAACACGGAATAAGTTTGCAGAAAGAAATTTAGTATTCAATTGCACGAAATAAATAAATTAGAAATGAAGGTTGCTTGAAATTGAATGTTGAATGGAACGTGGAATTTGAATGGCAAAATGGACAAGAAAGAACGCGTAGATGTATCTTTCAAAGATTAATCAAAACTTGCTCACTGAAAATATAAAAGATTTATGCGAAAAGTACATGAAATATTTTACAGAAATTCAACAGATTTTTGAATTTTCAGTCACATGGGACCCGCACCATGTATAAAATATTGAAAAAAAAAATTATCTTCCCATCCTTGAATGTGAGTGTTGGGTAAGCACAGAAAGAATTTCTGTACTTATAGCTCGACTCAATATAAAATGGATGGTGAAATAGTTTACAGCTCGTGCTGAACCCCATCAACATGGTAATTTACATAGCTTGATTCGACTTACCAAGCTGACGTGACATAGCTTTTTATGCGGTGCTTTGTTAATTTAAATTTTTAGCATTAACACAAATACAAATTTTCTAAAAATATATTACTTTAAAATTTATTTTCAACCACACATTTTTCAATAAAATAATATTTTTCATCATATCAATAATTTTTCCTTTTTTAACCACATATTTTTTATCATATCACTATTTAAAATATATTCTTTACTCAATAATAGTCATCAAACTCACTCTAATTGGTTCATGTCTAGCCTTGTCACACTAAAGTCCATAAATTAAAATAATAATACGATTTGTATATTTCTTAAAAAAATAATAATAATAATAAGAGAGGGAGAAAATGACTTATTTTTTTCTAAATTATTATTTTTCCCTTCTTCGTAAGCATTATGTGGGCCAAATAATTAAGCATAGTACATTGATAAAAATGTATGCATATGGATCTCATTTTATAGATCGCGTTAATTTACGTAAATGTGGCTCAAGAAAAATTTATTTTGATCAAAATATGTCAAGTTATTGTGGTTGAAATAAAACTTATGTTATGGAAAATGTGGCCATGCTTGATTGCCACATTTTATATGGAAAATATCACATCCGAGAAAAACGAATTACACTTTGGCAGTTTGATTGCAACGTGGAAATAGAAACTGAATTCCAAGGTACAATCATTTTAGGCTGCATTTTCTTTATTTTAATAGAAAACGAATTCCTATAAGTTTGGTAGATTTTTATTTTCCAACTAGCATGGAATTGTAATTCATTTCCACTTTTGCCTATCAAACGGATCCTTAACATTATATTATTTTTTATTTCCTTAGCATTGATTGGTTAAAATGTGTGGGGATTTTACTTCTTGTTAAATAACCAACCTTATCTTTTGTTTTGTTTAGTTTTTGTTAGTGGTGTACTTGTGTAAGTTATGAAAAACATGTGATAGTTTTTCTCAATCACTAGGCCATTTTCTTTTACCCACTGATCAACCATGTTTACTTTATATGCTTAAACACACGGTTTTTCAATACACACAAAAAAATTTTCAACTCTATATATCTTGTTATTCATCAAGTCAAGGCAAAAGAAAACTTCATTTTTCAAGTTTTTAGCAAATTTCAAATTTTTAATTTAGGTAAGATACTTAAGTGTAGTGGTTAAATTTTTATTCTTCATGATATTTATATATTGATTTCATTTAATGCCTTAAGACGGCAAGGTCGATCTCTATGTTAAATCCTACGGGATAGAACATCAGGTCCAATTATGTTAAATCCTTCGAAAAGTGGGAATTCTAAAAAAAAAAAATTCTTGAGCTATCTGTCATCACGATCATTTGCTCTAAACTTAAAAATGACGAGTATGAAATGTTTCATTTATGTTATATTGAATACAAGTTTGCACGTATCTTACTGAGTGTTTTATTCAAAAATACTCACTCTTACAAAATTTCATATTAGAACAGATTGTGTTGGATGCGTGGAAGATTTGACGAGTGAATGCTTATGAGTTGCCAAGTAAACATGATTTTTTAAGCACATTTAAGTCTAAAATTTTATTTAGTAAATTTTAAACTTAGTACTTGGGATATTAGTTAGGAGTTTTAACATTTATGTATTTCGTTTGAGTGGCTATTGAATTATGTTATTTAAATATTATGTGACTCTCAGTTGTGTAAAATTTTTCACTCCAATTTTCATTACAATGAAAACTATATTTTTTTCCAAGAATGGGAAATCATACAAGCATGTTATTTTTTTCTCCACTTAAAAAAATATTATAATAAATTAATAAGAAATTTGGTAGCACTTTGAATTTTTTTAAAAAATTTTACAGAAAAACAAAAAAAATTGGGGCGTTACATGACAGGTTATTTTATTCTAAAAGACAAACTATAAATGGTGATACAGAACGAACGAGAAAGAAACTAGTTGGATTATCGTTAATTTGAATGAATGGCGAATGAGATATAAGAAATAATTTGAATAAAGTAGTCAACAATTAATTTAAATGATCTTATGCCCTTCAATATCTAAGAGAGTGTTGGGAATTTACTTAACATGCACAACGAAAAATAAATAATTTTTCAATTCCTACCACGGATCTGATTTGTGTTTAAATAGAAACTGTGTTTAAAATAATACTTTTTATGAATTCTGCAAACTCTTTTACTAATTCTTGGAACATGAACAATCACAATCTGCAATCCACATTTATTCAATTGTCCAGCCTCTAATAGAAATCCACACAAGGAACAAAAATGGGAGAAAATTAGGGTTTCTCTTTTTTTGTGCTAACAAAATAATGAATTGTGTTCTATTCTTCTTTGAAACGCTAATGGCTTATAATATAAGTCCAAGAGTGCTTGACCCGTCTCTTAAATTTAACCCGGTCCAATATGTAATTAATTCAATTAATTAAATTCGGTTCATGAATTAATTAGGACATATTAACAAGCAACCCAAATAATTAATTGTACATCACTTGTTAATTAATTAATTGAAATTGCATTCTTCTGGTTCTCCTTTTGTGTGTGACTCATCAAATTCTCGATCACGACGCCTAATGATGTGAATTATTATTTTGATCTAATCAAAATCGATAAATTAAAATACTCATTTGAATTTGTCATCAATTCACATTTGTCGTCCCAAATTGATATCGAGCAATGTGTCGAACAATACATGTGATGAAAAATGTCATGTGGTATGACAAAACAAAATTTCTTCGTTTACTATAAAACTATAATCCCTTCGTCAATATGATCAATTACGAGATATGGATATGTGTTAATTTCAATTATCGATCATATCTTTCCTCCCACTATTAAGTCAATGTAAGTCGAAAACTCATTTTCGACTTATGAGTTCATGTTGGCAAGATTGATGAATCCTCTATTGATCATGCACATATACTCGAATAGTGTTGTATTAAAGACCCTTGACAAACCAACATCCAATATCACACCAAAGTATGACTGTCCTCATATAAGGTACTATGATGATCTCAAGTCAAATGACCAATTTTACTACCGAACGTTGGAGATTAACCACTGACACTCAGATAGTTATCCAGGTAGAATCTCCCCAACAGGTCTCCAATGTTTTGTTTTATAACAAAACATCCACGTGTTTATTTAAGTGTCACTACACTTTAACTTGTGAGATCATCTACTTACTTC